CAGTTGTACACCTGTAAACAGAGTTTTATGGGGCCCCCAGGAACTTGGGGCCCTATAGGCAACTGCCTAGTTTTGCCTAAAGGTAAATCCACCCCCCTGGTTACAGAATGACTGAAGTAATGATGGGCTTTCCACAAACTGCTACACAGCATATATTCCTGTAATCCTCCTTTTATTTTATATTTTAATGTCAATATTGTTTGTTTATATATATTTATTTTCTGCACTGAAAAAATAATGCAAGCATTTACTTAATCATTTTAGCTACTTTAACAATTGTATCATGTTAGCAGGTTAAGACAAAAAATAATTGTGTTAAAATGACTAAATATGATTAAGTAAATGCCAAATAAATGTTTTTCATTGTGTAAATTTTACCATGTTTGTTAACTTTTCTCTCTGTTTTTCTTCATTAATGAAATAAAATCAAACTTTATTTTATTTATATTTCTGCTCCATTTCGGTTTTTCCAGAGGGAACTTTCTGTTCGGACAAACTTGGGATTTCTTTTTTTCCTGCATTGGATGCCCCTCCATTGGGACGCATAGTTGACCCCTGTTCTAAAATAAGTATCCGGCCAACAATCCCAGCAGTCAGTCACACAGCAGCACAGGCAACAAAGCCAACACTGTGCTCAGCATGCAGCGGAAAACTGTCTGTAAATAATACACAGATACCGCTTTCACATGACTTTACCATGTAAATAAGAAGGCGGCCTTCAGAGCGGATGTTTGGGAAGTTTAACTCAGTTATGGAAAATAATTTGAGTTAATTTGCAACTACTTTGAATTTGACCAAAACATTTATTTACAGCTGTTGGTTTGATGCAGCTGTTTGAAATGTTTTATCAAACTTTTGAAACAGTCTTTACTGTCAGAACAAATGAGTTTGTAAAGGCTGGGAAGGCTGATTTAAAATGTGCCCATTAATAAAAAAGCCTGACGCGCAGCGCGCGGCGCTGAAGATGCGCTCCGGCGGACAGTCACGCGCCTGAGCGGAGCTTTGTTTTCTTACCTTAATCCTCCGGACGCTGGCCTCCAGCCGCAGCTGCTTCACCGCCTTCTGAGCGATGGCTAAACTGCTGCTGGCCGCGCTGTTGTTCGACATCACTGACTTTAACCTCGCCAGAAAGTTACAGCTACTCTGCAATTAAACCGTTAGAGGCAAACTGCGAGCTGAGGGAGAGTAGGACTTCCGGTAGAAACTTTCAAAATAAAATCTAGACGTAATCATGGCTGCTTTTTTTTAATGCAAATTCTACATAGTACAAACTACGGAAGATGATTAGGGCCACTGGAAAAAAAAAAAAAGTAAACTGATTTTTAAATGTTATTTCAGTTTAACATGG